CCGCGGAGGAGGGAGGGAAAGAACCCGACCGACGGCAGTCGGCAAAACGCCCAAACCCATGAAACTTCTTATTTCCGCATCGAACCTCCTCCTCCTCCTCCTCCTCCTCCTCCTCCTCCTCCGCCTCCTCTAGTTTCGCACAATTCAGGGCCCCCTGATCACCCCAGCGGCCGCCAGCTTCGCGGGCAGGGGGGCGCGCTTGGCGTCGGGGCGCCGGAGCGACTGCACCACCAGCACCTGGATGGCGCAGAGGCCAATGCTCCTGCGAGGGAGCAGAGAGGGGAAGAACGGGAGGAGGAGGAGGAGGATGAGGAGAGGGAGGAGGAGGAGGACAAGGAGGAGGCGGAGAAGGAGGAGGAGGAGGAGGAGACGGAGGAGGAGGAGGAGGAGGGGGAGGAGGGGGAGGAGGGGGAGGAGGTTGACGAGGAGGAGGAGGAGGAGGACGAGGAGGAGGAGGAGGACGAGAAGGGGGAGGTGGGATAATACATGTATGTTTGCATGCATGCATTCATGCATGTATGCCTGCATGCCTGTATGCATGCATGTATGCATACGTATGTATGCATGTATGTATGCATGTGCTTACGTACGTACGCATGTATATGTACATGCACGGATGTATGTTTGTTTGTTTGTACACATACATATCAACGTGTCTGCATGTATGCATGTCTGTATGCATGCATGTACGTATGCATGCATGTATGACTGTATGTATACATTTATATATGTATGTTTATCTATGTGTATATGTATGCATCCATGCATTGATGCATGTATACATCTATGTATGCACATATGTATGGATGTATGCATGTCGTATGTCTGTATGCATGCATGTATGTATGCATATATGCAGACATGTATGCATGCATGGATGTATGTATGCGGGAATATATATACACATATGTATGCATATGTATGCATGTGTGTATGTATGCATGCACGTATGCCCGTATGTATGTATGTATGTATGTATGTATGTTTGTGTGTATGTATGTATGTATGTATGTATGTATATGTATATATATGTATATGCTTTGTGTATGTATATGTATATGTATATGTATATGCATATGTATATTTATGTGTATATGTATATGTATATGTATATGTATGCATGTATGCATGCATGTATGCATGCATGCATGTATGTATGTATGCATGTATGTATGTATGCATGTGTATACGTAGGTATGTGTGTATGCGTGTATGTATGCATGTATAGATGGATGCATGGTTGCATGCATGTATATATGCATGTATGTATAGGTGCATGGATGAGTATACGTTTGTATGTACGTATGCATACATGCATGCGTGCCTGTATGCATGTGTGTATGCATGCACGCATGTATGTATGTACATGTGTGTATGTGCATGCATGCACGCATGCACGCACGCATGTATATATGTATGTATATACGGTTGTATGTATGTATGTATGTACGTACGTGTGTATGTATGTATGTGTGTATGTATGTATGTATTCATGTATGTATGCATGCATGTATGCATGTTTGTATGTAAGTATATATGTGGGAATATGTATATATAGACATATATATACATATGTATGTATATGTATGCATGTGTGTATGTATGCATGCATGCATGTATGTATGTATGTATGGTTGTGTGTATGTATGTATGTATATGCATAGGTATATGTAACTGCATATGTATATGTATAGGTATAGGTATAGGTATAGGCATGTGTATGTGTATATAAGTGTGTATATGTATGCATGTATGCATGCATGTATGTATGTATGTTTGTAGGCATGTATGTATGTATGCATGTGTATACGTAAGTATGTAGGTATGCGTATATGCATGCATGTATATATGGATGCAGGCATGCATGCATGTACATATGCATGTATGTATAGGTGCAGACATGCATATACGTTTGTATGTACGTATGCATACATGCATGCGTGCCTGTATGCATGTGTGTATGCATGCACGCATGTATGTATGTACATGTGTGTATATGCATGCATGCACGCATGCACGCACGCATGTATGTATGTATGTATGTATGTATATATATGGTTGTATGTATGTGTGTGTATGTGTGTGTATGCATGTATGTATGTATGTATGTATGTATGTATGTATGTATGTGTGTACGTGTGTATGTATGTATGTATGTATGTATGTGTGTATGTATGTATGTATGTATGTATGTGTGTATGTATGTATGCATGTATGCATGATTGTGTGTATGTATGTATGTATGCATGTATGTATGTATGTATGCATGTATATAAGATGACACGAATGTATGTATGTACGTATGTATGCATGTGTGTACGTACGCACGTACGGAGGTAAGCAGATAAATCGGTACGTCGGCAGGTAAGTAGGTAGGCCGGTAGGTAGGCATACACATAATACATGTGCATAGATAGGTACAAGAGGGCAGGGAGAGAGAGAGAGAGAGAGAAAGAGAGAGAGAAACAAAATAGAGATACAGAGAGTAGAAGGTAGAATAGCCAACCGCATAAGAAACACCCCGACGAGCGAACACCCACGAGCATGAGGGAAGACCTGTCTAATTAAGGCCCAGCCCAAAACTGTGGAAGAGGCCCCAAGGGGCCCCCAAGAGGCCCCAAGGGCCCCCAAGAGGCACCCCAAGAAACCCCAAGAGGCCCCTAAGAGGCCCCAAGAGGCCCCAATACGGCCCCCAAGAGGCTTCAAAACTGCCTCCCAAAAAGGCCCCTGGGAGACCAACCACGAGAGCCCAACCAACATCCGTGAAGCCTCTGACCCGCCACCCACCGCCTCCGAGGAATGGCAGCCGCCCAACTTCCCTAGTAGGCGACTATGGACGGGGTGTGCGTGTGTGATTTGTGCATGATTTCGCTAGCTCACGCACAGTTGCGTGGGCATTACATCCACAACACTCATACAATCAAACATTATGCTTACGCTGCTACCGAATCTTGTGACTCTCGTGCGCCCACCCCCCGCGAGGTGAAGCCGCGCCCCCCGGGGGAAGGGCGGAAAACAAACCTGATCGGACAAGAACGGGAAGCGCCGCTGTAGTCAAATGGGCGTATTGGGCGAAGAAAACAGGAAGGCGAGGACAACGAGGAGTCGATGACGAGGACGACGTGGCGAACGTGAGGATAGCGAGGAGGAGCATGAGGACAACGAGGAAGAGAAGCACAAGGACGAGGACGAAGGGAACGAGGGCGAGTACGAGGAGGAATGCGGAGGGCGATGATGACGACGACGACGACGACAGAGGACAGTACGAGGCAATTGGAGAAAGACGTTGCTCCTGACGCCGCGCGGGGTTCTCTTGGGGCCTGTTGGGGGCTTCTTGGGGGCCCCTTGGGTCCTCTTATGGGCTTCTGGGGTCTTCTTGGGCTGTCTGGGCGCGTCGTGGGGTTCTGTGGGAGCTTTCTTAGGCCGTCTCGGCGCTGGGGGCCTCCTGGGACGCTCCCGGGAGTCTCTTGGGGCCTTCTTGGCCCTCATTGGGCCGTCTTGGGGTTCTTGTGAGCTGTCTGGGTGGCTCGTAGAGCGCTCTTGGGGGTCTCTTGGGGTCTTCTTGGGGCGCTCTGGGGCGTCTTTTGGGCCTCTCTTGGGCCGTTGGAAAACACTCCAAGAGCGATTCGAACACGACGTCGATGCGTAGTCCCCTCTTGGGCCGATTTGTGGAGGATGTCTCGAGAGAAACGGCAATTTTTCAAAAATCCGCCAGCGCAGTTTCCAAGTGCGGCGCGTACCCGATTATTAATTTTTACCACCAACAAACGGTCCACGCCAGGGGCGCTTCCCGTCATCCGCCGACCTTGTCGGCGTGTGTGGGGTGTCTGTCTGGTCCCGTCGACGGGGAGCCTTGGGGGTCCTCCTCTCCCACGCTGGTCCTTCTCCGGCGCGCCAGTCCTCCTCGGGTCCTCCTCCCCATGTGGTTCTTCTCCCCAGGTGGGGAGGAGTCCCAGGGGGGGAAGGGAGTCAAATACGCATCAGTCCCTGGGGGCTCGGCTCTCCCACGCCGGTCTTCCTCCGGTCCTCCTCCCCAAGGGGGGGGGCCCAAAAGGGAGTCCTTTTCCTCCTCTTCCTCCTCCTCCTCCGGCTTATCTCCGCCTCCTCCTCCTCCTCCTTCTCCCCCTCCTGGTCGTCGTCGATGTCTTTCAGGGTCGGCGGCACCGGCCGTCAGGCTTTCACAATCATTACAGTGAAGGGGAGAGAAGCAAGGGGAGGAGAGCCACTCATTCATGGTGGCCCTGTTGGCGGGGTCCCAAATTTGGGCTGTCCACTCTGTGGTCGTGGTGTGCTCTTGGGGCGCGCGCCACTCCAGCTGCGCCAGGAGACGGAGCGCAAGCACGCACTGCCGACTGTCCCGTCCCAGGGATTCTGCGGGGCTGCGGAACCGTCGGACTGGCCATGAAGGACGCACGCCCTGAGAGAAGCTCGGGGGCGTCCAAGAGGGGGGTTCGCAAATCACGGCCCGAGGCAAGAGCGCGTCCCAAAGGGGGGGCCAGGAGACGAACTGAAAGCAGAAGACGGGGCCACGAGGTCTGGGAGAGATCGTGGGCCTGGCCATGCTATCCCCCCGCCCCCACATCATCACCCCCCTCTTGGCCGCCCCCGAGAAGCGGGCCCTGGGCCCTGGGGCTTACCCTTAGGTCGGGCATGGCGTCCCCCTACAGGCGGATTTGGGACGAGTAATACACAAATACTTGCAAAACGTATGCAAAATTGATCCAAAAGTCGTCCCCAGACTATTTTTGTACTACTTTTGAAAAGTCCCCCCCGTGGAGGGACGCGCCCGACTTAAGCTTACCCTGGGACCAGCTCTTCATTCCGAGTCGTCTCCTGGCGGCCCAGGGGCCCGGGGGCAGGTCCCCGAGAGGCGGCGAAGCGCCCCAGGACTCGCCTCCCTCGGGACCCGCCCGCTCCGCGGCGATCGGGCGCCAGCAGGCTCGAGTGGGGGCAGTGCGGGCTCAAGGTGGGAACCCCTCTGGGGCCAGGGGTGGGGAACGCCTGGGCGGCCCGAGATCGTCGGAGACATGTGTCTCGATACCACGCGACTGGCATACGAGAACGGCGCCCATGCACCGTACCATGCCTGGGCTCCGCTCAGGCCCCGCTCCAACGTGGCACGGTGCACACTCTTGGGGCTCCGAAGGGCCGATCAGCTATGCACCACACCACTCCTGGGCCGAAGATCGACAACGCCTCGGGAGACGCCAACGTGGTACAGTGCATACACATCGTCTGCGGATGGAAGCTGGCAGCGAAACAGAAACGCCGCAGACACTGCAACCGACGTGATTTCAGCACCCGCCGCCGCCGCCGACCCCAGGCGACCCCAGGCAGGCACGACAGGGCACGGGGGGCCCAAGGCCGACCGGCGGCGCGAGCGCGCCAATCTTGTCCCATCCTCCTCTCGTTTCTTCCATCCCCCAGCCCTCCTCCTCCTCCTCCTCCCCCTCCCCCTCCTCCTCCCCCTCGCTCCCCCTCCTTACCCTCCTCCCCCTCCTCCTCCCCCTCGCTCCCCCTCCTTTCTCTCCTCCTTTCTCTCCTCCTGCTCCTCCTCCTCCTCCTCCTCCTCCTCCTCCTCCTCCCCCTCGCTCCCACTCGCTCCCCCTCCTCCCTCCTCCTCCTCCTCGTCCTCCTCGTCCCTCCCACTCGCTCCCCTCCTTCCTTCCTCCTCCCCCCTCCTCCTCGCTCCTCCTCCTCCTCCTCCTCCTCCTCCTCCTCCTCCTCCTCCTCCTCCTCCTCTCCCCCTCCCCCCCCCCTCCCCCCTCCCCCTCCCCCTCCCCCTCCCCCTCCCCCTCCTCCTCCCCTCCTCCTCTCCTCCTCCTCCTCCTCCTCCTCCTCCTCCTCCTCCTCCTCCTCCTCCTCCTCCTCCTCCTCCTCCTCCTCCTCCTGAGAGGGGGAACGATGGGAGGGGACCAGTCAAGGGGCCCCGACGGGGAACGATAGGAGGGAACCAATCAAGGGGGAAACACCGACCTGGAATCGGCGATCCATTGCCCATAGATCGGCGATTGGCCCAAGTAGCGATACCGCTCGGTCCAGGGCGGGGGTGGGCTATATGGCCTCTATCGGCGGTCAATGCATCAGGCGACTGGGTGTCGATGCATTCCACCATGAGCGTACAGTAGGGGCCCGTCCAAAAGAAACCTTCCACAAGAAAATCCAACCCTGAGACCCCAGGACGTCCACTGAATTTTGGTGGGAACGTCACGCACTCAACAGAAAAACCATCGAAACCCAAGAAACCCATGGCACCCTGGAGGCAAGCAGGGTGTTTCTTAGCAGGAGCCCCCACCGTATCCCCCCTAACGTTGCACCCTGGCGTTCGTTTCAGGACTCGGCTCTCCAGCGGCCGTTCGGGACGATTCGGCCCCCTCGCAGAACGTTCTCGGCGAGGCGCAGCCGCTGAAGACATCCCGAGGCTGGAAGACCGCCGAGAACGTCCGAAAACGTCCAGAAACTCCCCCCTCTTCCTCCTCTTCCGCCACCGCCGCCGCCACAGACGACGACGCGGACGCCGCCGCCGGCGACGACTCGGACGATGACAACGACGACGTCTGGCGGCGGCGCGCGCCCAGACGGGGCGGGGTTGCTCCTGGGGAACCACGAGAACCACTGCTCTATCTCCTGGCCGGTGGGCTGCCAGGGAGCCCTCCTCCCCCTCCTCCTCCTCCTCCTCCTCCTCCTCCTCCTCCTCCTCCTCCTCCTCCTCCTCCTCCTCCGCCACCTCTCGGTGACCATTTTTGGCTCAGGAGCTGGCTCGCCCGGCCTGCTCAGGCTGATCTATCTGGCCGCCGTACCTCTCCTCCCATGTCCGATGCAATGGCGGAGGCGCTGCTCGGCGCGGTGGTCCGAGCAGGTGGCTCCTCATGGGCGGCGGCGGGCACGACGGTCGCCCTGTGGCGCGCGGGGCGCGCCGCGCCTGCCCGGGAGGCTGACGAGAAGGGGGTGCGGGAGGAGGTGGGCACCAGGACCGACGTGATCAAGCCCGCCGCTGCGGCGAAGGTCCGCGCGGCGCACGACGCTGAGCCGCTGCGCCTCACGGGTGAGGACGAGGCCATCAGGAACGTGGCCGAGCGTGCGCTGCTTGGTGAAGGAGCGGAAGCCTCGCTGAAGGATGGTAAGGAGGCGAAGCGGCAGCACAGGGGCAGGCGCCGTGCTGGCGCCAGTAGCAGCCAAGGCTCGGACGAGGACAACTGCGAAGTGGAGAATAAGATCGAGGACGGCTACCAAAATGATATGATAAGACGGCCCCGAAAAGAAGAGTCTCGCGAGACTGAACGCGCCCGTGAACGGGCGCGACCGCGGGGACCTGGCCACCGCCCCAACCGCCAGGTCCCCGACCACGACGAGGTCGAGGAACACGAACGAGTTCACCACGGAGCCGCTGAAGAGGACAACCTCCCGGCGCCCCAGGTCGCCCGCTGAGTCGCCGAACGACGCGAACACCCGCAGCTGCTCGATCGTCGCGCTGCGAATCTCGGTGGTGGCATTGACAACGGGCTCGAACTTCAGGGCGAGGCGTCGCATGACCTCCGCATGCTCTGGGACGCACAGAGACATACTAGTACTGTATGTCATCCTTGGAGGCGCGCGTCCGAACCGAACGCATAGTATACCCATCTTGTAGTATATCGTTTCCCGAGCGGTGTGGCCAGAAAGCGCCCGCCACGACGCATGAACTATAAGAATTCACGGTGCGCGCGTCGCCCCTGGGGGTACGACGCACTCATAGTATTAAGTACGTTGGGGTGACGCCGATGCTCCGCGGTCTCGCCGTGCCCAGCGCCCGCAGCCATGGGCGGCGCGGCGGCGGACACCGCAGCTGCTGCACCGCGATCACCCGCTCCCGCGGCGGCGGCCCCGCATGCCTCGGGGGCAGGCCGTCAGCCCAGCTGTCGTCGAGAACATCATCACGATGGGCCTGTTTCCACCACCACCACCAGAAGTTGGAGAGGAGGAGGAGGAGGAGGAGGAGGAGGAGGAGGAGGAGGAGGAGGTGGAGGTGGAGGACACCCTCACCCTCCAACTAATGGCGGTGGTAGTGGTGGAAAACATGCCCACCGCATCACCAACACCCTCCTCGACCTGCACCGTGTGCCAGAACTGCTCCTCCAAAGCGGCGCGGCGCGTCATCCGCAGGCAGAGCAGGCTGCGTCGCGACATTTCCAGCCGCCGAGAAATGCGGAGCGCGGCCCACCTCAGCTGCGCCTCCTTCGGCCTTGCCGCGCCCGCGCGGCCGCCACTGTCGAGGGCGTGAGCAGGGGCCGCGGTCGGGCGGTGCCGCCTCCACCCGCGCGGCCTGCTTCGTGGAGTCGCCGACGAGGTCAGCGGTCGCAGCGCGCAGCAGGCCCCCCGCAGCCCGCAACAGGCGGGTCCCCGAGAAGGACCGCCCAGCAGCAAGGCCAGCGGCGGCGTGAGCCGCGAGGAGGGCTCCTCGGGCAGCCTCGACGGCGCCGCGGAGCCCAGCCCCCGTGAGCGTACCCGGCTTCGGCGGATCGGCGGCGGGGCCTGCGGCGCAACGCTTGAGCCAGAGTGAATGAATACTACGGCTAGCTGATGAAGGACAAAGAGAGGGCAGGAGATCCCCCCCCATAATAATCACCCCGACGAGCGAAGCCGTTTAGTAAACGCGCCCAGGGAAGGAATCGAACAGGGCGGGGCTGTTCAATAAACGCCCCAGGGCCGTTTAGTAAACGTCAATCGTCGGGTCTGGGTGTTTTTCCTCCCTTGAACAAAAACGTGCTGAAGGAGGAGAGCAAGTACGAGAAGGAGAAGAGCGATGAGAAGGTCGCCACTCAGGAGATGAGCCTCTTCGGCACCGCCCGGGAGAGGGTCGATGCGGTCCATGAGCTCGATGTCCAGCTGGAGGAGGCGGAGAAGCTCCGCGACGCGGCCTTGGAGGCGATCCTCGTCGCGGGGCTCGCCGACAAGTTCTCGGATGGCAAGAAGGATAGGTTGGAGACCGACGCGGTATGACGAACTGGCCGAGCATCATCGCGTCGCTCTACGGCGAAGGCGGGAGGCGGGGACACCGGTCGAGGACCTCCCTCGTTCCCTCTGTGTTCTGAGGAGGGCATCTGCTGTATCAAGTGTCGGCTTCGGCTCTCTTGCTGGGGTGGCACGGTTGTCTCTCGTGGGGCTGGCCCGCGTTTTTAGAATCCGTTTTTCGAATCCTCCCCCCCTTCTCCTGAAGGTTTCCTCCCCTTCCTCCTCCTCCTTCTTCTCCTCCTTCTCCTCCTCGACCCCTGCTCCTTATAGATAATTCCTCCCTGTCGCAACCCCAGCCGTGTTGGTAGGGCGGGTCGGGCGATTCGCCAGGGACTTCGTCGCCATGTTATGATTGCGAATTTTGAAATTCGGAACAGCTTCAAGAGAGGGCAAACATCCGCCCCGATAATAACCACCCCGGCACGCGAGGCCTTTAGCAAACGCGCCCAGGGAAGGAATCGAACAAGGCGGGGCTGTTTAATAAACGCCCAAGGCCGTTAAATATACGCCAATTGTCCGGTCCGGGTTGTTTTTCCTCCCTTGATTCAAAGGTGGAGGGCAGGTCTTTTAAAACATGTGGCTCTTGCCTTAGCCCCGCGCGCACTCGTCGTAAAAAGTTTCAACGCCTTCAGAGATGGCGGACGGGTCTTTTTCAACATGTGGCTCTCGCCGTACCACCGCGCACAGTCGTCTCAAAAATGCGCGGTTGTTTCAAAGATGGAGGGCGTGTGGCTTTCCAAATGTATCTCTCGCCTTAGCGCCGCGCACATTCGTCTCAAACATGAGTTGAAGTCCCAGGAATGGCGTTCCTGCACGACTTGTGACTGTCAGGACGCAACAGCCACCTTGATACGCGGTGTTGACGTCCCAAGAACGGTGTTCTGCCGCGGTCTAGGATTATCAACACGCAACCATCACGTTAATTCGAGGCATTGAGATCCCTGGAGCCGTGTTTTAGCAAGGTTGAGGATTCTCAGACGGTTGCCATTTATTGGGGCACTCCCCGCAGTGACAATAAGTTGTTAAAAGTGCTCAAAACGAGGAAACTTGGAGAAAGGGTCTCATGCATCATCATTGATGCGTCTTGGGTTTACTCTGGTCCTCCTCCTTTTACTCCTCCGCCTCCTCCTCCTCCTCCTACTCATCGTGGAGGCCTCCTCCTCCTCCTCCTCCTCCTCCTCGTCCTCCTCCTGCTCCTCCATCGCCTCCTCCTACTCCTCCTCCTCCTCCTCCTCCTCCTCCCCTCTGAGAAACACCACTTCGGGGCCGAAATCGATTCAAAGGCAGTGGGCTTTTTAACCACCCGAAGACATACACAGAACACGTTTATTCTCGAAAAGGCGGAGCAAGCTCTGAGGATCCGCGGGAGAAGGCCCGTCTACAGCAGTGCAATTGGTCAGGTCACTGGCCCGAGTTCTCAAGAGAGGGAGAGGAGTTGCCACACTCCAGAGTTTTTTGTTGTCGAGGGGCGGGGGGGGGGAGGAGGGGGAGGAGGAGGACGAGGAGGAGGAGGAGGAGGAGCAGGAGGAGGAGGAGCAGGCGGAGCAGGAAGAGGAGCAGGAGGAGGAGGAGGAGGAGGAGGAGAAGAAGGAGGATGGGGAGGATGGGGAGGACGACGAAGGGGGATGCGGTGACGACGACAGGGACTGGCCGTTACCAGCTTATTCGGGAGGTGGGCCGAGGACGATGAGGACAGAGGAACAGGCGGAGGAGGAGGAGCAGGAGGAGGAGGACGACGACCAGAGTAACTTAAGACTCATAAGCCCTCCCTCCAAGATCCATCGTAGTAGGCCCCTACAGGGGTTTCATTTCCACAAGGGGAAATGCCCCGCTAAGAGACAACCGTTTGAAGATCCTGCGGCGTGCCCAAACACCGTTCTTGGGACTCCAACGCCACGAACCAACCTGGCTGTTGCGTCTTGACATGCCTGAATCGTGCTAGAATGCTATTCGTGGTACTTCAACACCGCGAATCAACGTAAGTGTTGCGCCCTGGCCATCCATAATCGTTCCAAAACAAATTTTCTGACACGTCAGTTATGGGAACCCATGACGCTCTGGCAAATGTTTAAAACGAATGTGTGCGGCGCTACGGCGAGAGCCACATTTTTAAAAGGAACCGCCCTCAATCCGTGAAGCTCTTGCAAATGTTGAGAACGAATGTGCGCTGCGCTAAGACGAATGACACATTTTGAAAACGGCCCGCCTTCAATCCATGAAACTCTTGCAATGTTTGAAGACGAATGTGCGCAGCACGAAGGCGAGAACCACATTTTAGAAGCGGCCCGCCCTCCATCTGTGAACCGGTTGCCAACTTATCAGCTTCTAAATGGGAAACGGCACGGACGTCTCAAGCGAAATGCCCAGCCCGCCCTTCCGGCTGGCCTCGGGGTGCGACAGGGAGGAATCTGTAGAAGGAAAAACCATGGAGGAGGAAGAAGAGGATGTGTCCACTGTGGTGTTTGGGGCTTTTCCACTCTGGTAAGTCGGTGCTGGTCAAGGTCGGAAAGCCCCACCTTCTACGTGGCGCCTCGTACCTTCCGATTGCACCTAATATGACGGCTTGTATGCGTCCGCCGCATGTCATGGCAGCCACCTTTGCCAGTTTAAACTTGGGAGGGCCTGGTAGTAATGTG